ATTTGATGTCGATCTTTCTGATTGATCGTAGCTTGTAGCTTTTTATTATTGGAAACAAAATAGAGCCAACAAGAGAGAATTTGGCAAATCGATACAATTGCTATAGCAATGCTACTCTCCAATTTCAATTGGAGTCCAAATTGTATCATTTACATCAAGAGACTAGTCAATCCATTGCTGAGTTTTACTCTCAGGTTAGTAGTCTCTATGATCAGCTCTATCGGGTTGATCCATTTTTTCCTAATGATAAATTTGTAGAACTCTTCTCAAAGTATCGGGATCGTCGACAGTTCATCCATTTTATTATGCATATTCAAGATGACTAAGAATATTAGAGTCTCATTGCTTCATTGCTCTCCGCTGCCAACACTTGATTTTGCTCTTATTGAGCTCATTTCTGAAGAGACAAACCAAAAGACTCGTCGAGTTCATTCTACTGATCTAGTTATAGCCGTTGTACCTAGTTCAGTTTCTACAGTTGTGGCTGCTGCTTCTTCTAGGTCGCATCATTTCATTGGTTAATATCACTATTGTAAGGAAGAAGGTAGTCGAATTTCTTATTGTTCCAAGAAGAAAGGCTAAGGATACGAGAGAAGCTCAGAAAGCTAAGGAACATACCTCTACCCCCAAGATTGTTGTTGCTACATCATCCAGTTCATCAGTTTCAGAGTCTTCTTCTATACCCTCTCTCTCATCTCTTATTGCAGCTGATCTTGAGGTAATTGACCATCAGGTTTAATCCCGTACTTCCATTGTCTTGACCGTTTACATCTTCCTCTTGGTTTATTGTCTCAGCCTAACTGTCTCAGCCTAACGCAATCATATGACTAGTGATTCTTCTCTATTATTTGAGAATAAATTTGTAAATCCAATCCCTGTCATGATGATTCCCCATATATGTAGGCAATATTGTTTCCATCTTGTTACGCAAAAATCTCGCAAGCGTACGAGTTCGTTGTACAAGTAATAATTGTGATGAGTGAGTTATCGTCCCACAGGGAATAAGACTCAATTTTAGAGTATTCTATATATTTAAATTCGCAAATGTAACAAAAGATGGTTGATTTTTAGTTGACTACGTTCTATAACTACGAAAGTAATAAAAAAATGGTTTTAAATCAAATGTGGGTGAGTGTATTGGATTTCCGACTCCACTAATCAATTCTTAATTTCAATTCTCAACCAGTGATAATTAATTCGATTCATGCAATTGCGACGATCGATAATTCCACTTTCATTTACTATTCTTTCCCAAGATATAATAAATCTATAATTGCCACGAGACGAACCTATTCCTAGTCCGAATTCATATGACAAGCAAGCATTGACGTTTAGGATTATCACACATGACCGCACACGCCATAAATATTATTCCTAATATTCATTGTCCGTGTGTTCCATAAACAGTGTTCTACCTACCGTGAGTTTTCCAACACTACGAATAAGCAACTAATTGTCATAATGGTGCGCAAACATTAAAAACAATAAATTCATATATGTTTATGAAATCACAATGCAAGAATTAAATTAAAAACACATGATATCGAATTAAAAACTAAAAATTAATTAGCTTCATCATCCATCCAATACAAGGGAATTTAGCCTAGCATATTGTAGAAATTAAATTACACAAGAATAATTGGAAAAATATCACCCGAAAATAAGAAAGATGGAAGAAGTTGGAAAAATCTACGTTCTTGATGTGAAACTTGAATCCGGATGAAAATTTTTCAATATCCTATACAATTCGCCTTGATTCCACGTTATTAGCCACGTTCTTCGCCTCCAAAATATATATAATATAGAGACTTTTAGGTCTCTGGAGGTTCCTCATATGTATTCTGCTGTTCTCTCTTTATAGGAGCCGAAAATTGGTTGAAAATCACGTCCAAATTGGTTTCCAAAAGAGTTCTAATCGAATAAGGAAAGTTGCCTTCGAGCGCGGATTTTTTGTCTCTGCACAGTAGTCTGTATTTTAGTCATAACTTTCTCTTCTGATATCCGATTGATGCGATTTAAAGTGCATTGGAAAGTTAACTTAAAGGGATACAACTTTGATTGAAATAGAGTTTTTCCAATTCGGACATTTACTATGCCAAAAATGGGTCTCAATATTCGGCTAAAAATCTGGAATATATCTTGAGCGATTGGAAATTGATTTTGATAATACTTTGATCATGTTCCATTCCTTTTTGAATTCTAATTTCAATCCAATTGTCTAATAGCAATCTTCAAAGTATCTTCTTGAGTATTTGTAATTTGATCCTCTAACTTTGGATTTTACCATTTTTCACCATATTTTGCTTCTTTTCTCCAATTCTTTATCAAACATAAAGTTTTACCTACACAATGCAATATAACATACATTATGTAAAATTTTGTTAAAAAATCAATAAAATTCTATAGTTTTAAACCCCGAATAAGTGTAGAAAATACACTTATCACATCTCTACCTCTATTCTTTCAATTTGTAATACATCTTGTTCTAAAACTATCCCTCAATCTTCATCCCGTTGGACAACTTGTTGCACATGGTTTTATTTTAATATTTTCTAACAAATGGTGTGATTTGCAAGATTGGAAGACAGGTCATCTAATTGGGAAAGGGTGTAAAGTTGGTCGTCTTTTGAGCTTTCCTTCTTGCAAGTTCCTAATTCATGTTCTGTCCAACATTTTGCATCTGCCGTCTCTTCCAATCTTTGGCATTCTCATCTCGATCATACATCTTTATATCGTGTTCAGTCTTTAGCATCTTATGGTTATTTAGGAAGAGTTAATTTTAACTCTCTTGATTGGGTATCTTGTCAATTGGGAAAATAGAAAGCTTTATCTTTTAATAATGGCAACTCTTTATCTTCTACACCTTTTGATCTTGTCCATTCGGATGTATAAGGGCATGCCCCAACTCCTAGCAAGAGGTATCGTTATTTTGTTATATTAATTGATGATTATTCACGCTATACATGGTTGTATCTTTTACATGATTGATCGAGTTGCTGACTGTATTTCGCGGTTTTAAACAGATGATAAAAACTCACTTTGATTGCACCTTCAAAATCTATAATTTTGTAATCAAATTGGATGAATGAAATTTAAGCGTTAATTTTACGTGGGTGAAATAGCCTCTAACATAAAGAAGAAGTTCGATAAGTATTAGGGTAAAATGGAAAGAGTAAACTAGTTGGTGCTTATTGCTATTGGCCTTCATACAAACTGAATTACATTGAATATTATTTTGTTGATCACTACAACGATAAGGAAATTGCTAATAACATTACTAAGGCTTTGAAATCAATGATCCAAAACTGAATTACACAAAATAATATTAATTCAATCACTTTTTGTAGAACGTTTGGAATCAATGATCCAAAACTAACTGAAGATAATTGAGGGTCCAAGGCTAAGTTTTTCGAGTAGATGCATTGCCGTCATATTTCTTAAAGACTTCATTCAAAGTTTGACTGATTATTCCCTAAGCATTTCATTTGTTTTTGTAGGAATGCACATTCATTATGACAACAATAATGCTAAAGTCAAAGGAGTTAATCAGCCAAAATGGGAACCGATTGTAGGTCAACTCTTTTAGGTTTTTGAGCTAGAACCCCACTTTTTAATAAGGAGCGGTTTGCTAAAAATATACAAAGGTCGAATTGTGAGATTTAAGAATATACAAAGGTCGAATTGTGAGATTTTAATACAATCTTCAGATTATGTGAATTGAAATAAAAGGAAATATCTGCTAGGGTTTTTATTTTGTAACTTCCAGCAACTTTCTATGCTCTCTATAGGTGGTATTTCAAGGGTATCATGCTATGGAAAGCCAATACATTTGGATGACTATAATATTTTAAATTTCGAATTTATTGAGGTTGAATGACTGTATTACTTTTAATTGGATGAGAGTAATATTTTTAATTTTATAGTGATCTTGAATGACTGTATCATTTTTAGTATTTTGGTTGAATTGAGTTAAAATTTAAAAAAAACTGCCTAGCAAATTCAACAAAAAAGGCCCCAAACGTGTATTTGGACCAAACTAATTGCCCAACAAAGAAAGAAGGGCAACTTACAAATATACTCCAAAAATTAGAGGTCATTTGAGAAATCATATAAAAAGTATTTTGAAAGTAAAAAATATTGTGTAAAATTAAGTGTAAAGAGTGACAAAATGTCACTCTTTTTATATTGTCACTTTTTAAAGTTAAATATCATTTTTATTAAAAAGTAATGTTTGTCACTAAAAAAAAGTGATAGAAATTTCAAGAAAGTGACAGAAAATTAGAAAAAAAAAAGTAAAAAATTATGTATAAAATTAAGTGACACTTTTTAAAAAAAATGACATACAATATCAATAAAATTTGCATACGTCAATACAATCAACATTCTTTTATCTTCTAGGATACAAAACTTGAAAGAAAAATTACGAAATTTCAACGAATGTATTATGGTACTGATAAAATCAAGCACATAAACGAGATTGAGCTGGAATTAATAAACTGAAATGCAAGAAGAAAAACAAAGGACAGAAAAATGGGATGATAGACCTGCTCTTAATGAGCAGGGAAGAAGATGAAATTCATTCATACTTGCTTAAGGAAAATAAAATGTAAACTAATCTATTTATAGAGAGAATACTAACCAATTATCTAACAAATCTAACAAGATAACAAACAAAGGAAGGAACTAGAATATGCTAGAATAAGTACGAAGGAACTGGAACGTGATGCTGTAGAACGTGTGAGCTGCTGTTGCTGAAGGCGTGAGCTGCTGGTGAACACGTGAACTGGAGAGGATGAGTTGAACTGGAGGCTGGGAACAAGTGGACTGCTGGTTTGCTGATGTTGGGCTGCTGGAACAAGTGGACTGCTGGTTTGCTGATGTTGTTGTTTCTGTTGGGCTGATGGTCTTCGGCTGTTGGGCTGATTTGGGCTGGAGAATATTCCAACACTCCCCCCTCAAGATGGAACATCTTGAACTGTAGAGAAGGAGAGTAGAGCCAATCAAGGAGCATCTTGTTTCAGAAAAACTGCCAGCGAGTTTGCATGTGCAGGTGAGTTCAAGCTATTGTCACTCAAAAGATCTACTGTCTGATCACCCTTTAATTGATATGTTGATGGACCACCAGTTGAAGGAATAGCAAGAAGTAATAACTGTGTCGCTAAACCTGAAGTGGAGCTGGATCCTTTGTCTGATTGTTTGCTATCTCCTGTGCCAATAAGAGGAGCATCAACATCTACCAAGGATCGACTAGGTTCAAGTTTTGGTTTCTCTAATGGAACATTGTTTCCAGAAGCAATAAATTCATGCATGGCCAATCCACGTTGCAAGTCATTATTCAGTGATAGTCCTTGGTTAATAGTGACTCATCCGAAGTTGAGTTAACAAGCTGAACAACTCTTTCCTCATATCCAACCCATCCTCTTCTCCAGAGTAACCTCTTGTCTGCCCTTTTTTTTTTTTTTTGGTAAATCTTCCTTCTCCTTTGAGAAGGAATATCTTCAAACACTTCATATCTTCATTCAAAAGATAAAATCAATCCTAGAAGCCTGCCAATCCTTGCAGGTTCTATCTTCATTTTCCTTTTCAGTGGAGCTGCCATTCAAGCAGGATCTTTCTCCAATTTCATTTCAATTTCTGTTTGATTCCCTATCTGGGAATAAGTCATTCTCACAGACATTTTGTCTGCCTTCCAAAATCTTCATCACTTAGAAGATAAAATCAATTTGAGAAGCCTGCCATTGCAAGTTCGATTTCGGTTTTGAGAAGCTGCCATTCTAGCTTCAATCTTCAATTTCCATTTCAATTTCATTTTGATTCCCTTTCTGGGAATAAATCAACCATTTTGTGAAGAGGAACAACATCTCTTCAATTTTTCATCCATTCCGACATTTCGTCGAACATCTAGTGAGCAAAGCCACTATTCTGTTTTCTGGTAATCTGATTTCTGATTTTCGGTTTTTTTTTTATTGAATTGAGAAAAGATAAAAAGAAGAAGAAGAATTTCGGATGAAGGATCTAAACCCGCTCTGATACCATGATAAAATCAAGCACATAAACGAGATTAAGCTGAAATTAATAAACTGAAATGCAGGAAAAAAAAACGGGATGATAGACCTGCTCTTAATGAGCAGGGAAGAAGATGAAATTCATTCATACTTGCTTAAGGAAAATACAATGTAAACTAATCTATTTATAGAGAAAATACTAACCAATTATCTAACAAATCTAACAATATAACAAATAAAGGAAGGAACTAGAATATGTTAGAATAAGTACGAAGGAACTGGAACGTGATGCTGTAGAACGTGTGAGCTGCTGTTGCTGAAGGCGTGATCTGCTGGTGAACACGTGAACTGGAGAGGATGAGTTGAATTGGAGGCTGGGAACAAGTGGACTGCTGGTTTGCTGATGTTGGGCTGCTGGAACAAGTGGACTGCTAGTTTGTTGATGTTGTTGTTTCTGTTGGGCTGATGGTCTTCGACTGTTGGGCTGATTTGGGCTGGAGAATATTCCAACGGGTACATTTCAAATGACTTAGATATACACTCCACAATCATTCACAAAAAAAAAAAAAAATTTGAGCATTACCCATCATCCATCCACTACAACACCTCCTCTACTAACCTATCTATGATGAGTTATGGACAAACCTTTGTGCCATAACGAGGGTGAAAAAGTGCTATAAGCGATGGATGTCTTTTTAAACAAGAGAGGAAATCATATTTTCTGATTCTTCCATCATCGTCCACGTCAATTAAATTATGAAACCTTGAGATTTGAAAGTTTCAAATCAAGAAAGTTTAAGCAAGGGTGGGAGAAGAAAAATGAAACTATAGAAATTATACACTGAAGAAAGAACTCTAACCTCTGAATTAGACCCATAAACATCCATTTAATTAGGTCATATCATGAATAAATCCTCCAACAAATACAAATAAAGTCAAATGAAAACCAACCCAAATCATCAATGTCTGAGACGACAGGGGCGGACGCAGACATTTTGAGTCAGAATGACACAATCAAATCATGTACAAATCGATTATTTTGTTCTTGATTTTTAAATGATTCATACTTGACTTGAGACAATGTAGATTTACATTTTTTTAAAAAATCGTCATCAATATTTTGCTAATCATTTTGATCCATTTGATTTCGAAAAGTCATTACGAAAAGTCATTTTATTAATGTTTTGTTCATCACAAGAAAATCTATATTTACGTTTAAAAATCTTATAACGTATTTGATACAAACAATCAATTCAAGTAATCGAAAAGAAAAACATATAACTAATATCCAATACTAATAATAAATCAAATAAACACAATTCGTTAAATATAAGTCAAATTGGATATAATGAGTTCAGACACATTCTATATACACACTTTAATAGGAGAAAATGCAAATTTAGGTTCTAATTACTTGAAATTTTGATTAGAAAGTGAAGATTTGTAGTAAATGTGATAATTTGTAGAAAAATGATATGCAAATTTTAAAAAATTAGAAGGGTTAAGATTTTGTTAAAAGACGTCAGGACATGAGTAAAAGAGAACAAGAGAAAATAAAAAAATTAAAATTTATTGTGATTTTGTCCCTATTTGGTGAATATTAAAATCAATTTTTCAGTAAATTTTGATAAAATTTAAACAGTTGTAGATTCCATGAAATATGTTATTAAAATTAATTGTTAACTTTGATTTATGTTAAAATTTAGATTTCAATCGATACTAAACATGGCTTTATAAAAAAAATCTCAAAAGTTGGGGGTCACGTGACCCCCCGGACCCCCCTGTTCCGCCAGTGTGCGACGACTTGTGAAAACTAAATATATTTGCTAAATAAAAGCTTACAGTTTCACCATTTACATTGTTTAATGTTCATTTGAATTCTCTCTCTTATTTGTAGTCATGAATTGGCTATATATTTCTCAGTGTGCGTGTGTCCAGAGGTTTGGAATGTTTTGGGGGTTTCTCTGTGTGCGTGTGCAGAGGTTTTGGGGGGGGGGGGTGGTGTTGGAGGGTTTTTTAATGTATTTATTACGTTGTTAGATGTTTTAATTAGTTAATAAGTTATTAATCAAATTAATTAATTTTTTAGGGTATTGGGCATAATTTGCCCAAGAAAGAAAGGGATCTAGTGTGAAATTGGCCTAAACCCCATCATGACCAACCCAACCACTAGGGGCGGACCCAGCACTTGGCCAGCCCCAACGGCCGCCCGTTCTGGGTCCACTGGGACTTTGAAGTCCGCCGAGAAGGCAACAGCGACGATGGGAGTTTTTTTTTTTTTTTTCCTTTGTAAACTTGCTTCTTCTTGGGCCTTTTTTTTAAAAAAAACAATAAGGCCCAATGTATATTTGCAACCCATTACTACAACTACAAACAAAACCAAATCTAAATCCAAATCCCCAAATTGAAACCCAAACCTTCGAGGAGTTGAGGAGGAAGAGAGTGAGAGACGACCGGGCAATGCAATTTGGCGAAGCAGCTGCACCAGGCTCCAGTTCGAGCAAGCTCCACCACTCTAGGCTCCAGTTCCAACACAAGCAGCTTCGAGTTCCAATCCCAGCACCAGCAGGCAACCTTCGTCAGTGACTATGAGTTCTCTGCTCTCCTCAGTCTCTTTCGTTTCTTTTTTATTTTTTGTTTTTGTTCCTTTAGTTAATTAGTTCAATATATATGAAATCTTATCCTTGATAAGCATACGACTTGAAAACTGTCCAGATGTCCCACCAAGGAAAACCCTCTCTTTATTGATTGGATTGGGCTACTACATACTTTATTTTACAAATTTCTGTTTGATTTGTTGAAGGTTACTTTGTATAATAAAGAAAAAGTCGTCAATACACAATAGAGAGGAGATTCTTATTTTAGTCTCACTCTTAAATAAATATATATTGGTTGCCTGGTAAGTTGGAGAGGAATGATATTGATATGGAAGTGGACCACAAGGAACGAAAGGGCAAAAAGATGCTATTAAAAGTCAACAATCCTATCCATTGGAGTATCTCAATTGATTTTTATATCGTTGGATCGACCAAATTAGTAAACGGTTTTTTTAGACACGCGAGACGCAATCATACAAGACGGGTAGATGCATACTAAAATAGAAACATTTAAATCATATTCGATGGCCATTATTTGTCAAAAATAAAGTTTTGAATTGAGAATTTCTAGAGAATATATGATTAAAAAGTGAAAAAAATTTAGACTTGTCGATGTTGATAAACGACCTCGCTCATACGATCGCTGATAGTCGATGTTGACTGAGTCTGCCACTTCCAACCACAACCTACCCAAGTTCGGTCGATTTGGATGGACTCAGATTTGAAATAGTGCAAGTGAAGATGTTCTTCGCTTCGTTTCTATTTTTCTTGAAACAAGTACAACAATTCACATTGCTACATTGAAGAAACTCATACATTGACTTTCACGAAGTTAGAATTGAAAATGTTGTTCCATCTATTTTTCCATGTCTATATATTTAAACTGATGGGAAAATATTTGAATATTTCTCACAATATGCTCATAAAATGCATGGTATTTTGAATGTTTTCATAATTTACAATTAATAAATGACAATATTGTCTTATGGCCAAATTTATCAAACCGATAGAATATCGGGTTTATGGTTTTATTTACACCAAACAATATTTTTGTAATAATCAAAACAACTGTTCAGACTTAATCGATGAGCTGAATGATCTAAATTAGTTGAGAACTTGATCATTAATCAATGAACTCATTCTTAAAGAGTACATTCGTACGCATATTTTTGTATCATATTTTATTTTTACTAATTTTATTTTAAAATCTAGAAAGCACAAATTTCCTCAATTATCATGCGAAACCCACAAACGTATGAAATCGTTGATAAGTAATAGAATTGATGAATTAAGAGTATCGTCCCACAAGGAATAAATTCAATTTAAGTTTACTAGTTATGTATGGAATTTAACTTGTATAAACAAAAGAGATAATTTGATTTTATTTTATGCTAAATTATCTAAGAAAACGATAAAAAAGTATTTTGTATCAAATTATGGATGATTGTATTAGAATTTGAATCCGCCTATTGCTATCTACTTTAATTCTCAATTATGTAGTTTAGCCCTTGTTTGACATTCACTTTTTTTTCATTCTCATTCTCATTCTCATTTTTTTTTTCTCTTTCTTAATTTCAACCACACATTTTATCAATAAAATAATACTACACATAAACCAAAAAATTCTCATTACTTTTTAACCATACATTCTTCCATCAATCACTATTCCAGAATTTAATTTCTCTCTAAAATGGGTAATCTACATTG